CGTTGTTTGTTTGGTATTAATGGTTAGAGTGTCACTCATTGACCTGTCAGATCAGCAAGTGTTATTTCGGTGAGTTTCGTGTTTATTGTAGTCACATCAACATCAGCAGGTTGCACTACGGATTTGCTTGACAGAGTTGCAGATCCAGTTGGATTGATAGGTGAGCAACTGTGCAAACAACTGTGCGAGTTGCAGGATGTTTGAGATCCAACAAAACACTGCTTGCACACAAGTTCATGAATGCAGATTGTCAGACTTGACCATCAACTCGCAGTATAAATTGCGTGTACGACAGTTTACACGCTTACCCATCAACAATAAACCCATATAACCAGTAAACCGTTGACGAGCAGCCAGTTCAGTGGTCGGGTTGATGTTTTTTGTTGGAGTTTCTGGATCAAACTTGACCTGATTTGTACCGAGTTGGGTCATGACTACAAGTTTGACAGCAATAGATTGATCCACTAATAATCTGATCGTGTTGTTGATTGTATGGATGTTGGTAATCCGTTGCAGATTGATACGGAATATGACCAGAATACCATAAAGTTTATTGAGTGTGCACATCGCATTCGATGCAAAACGCAATAAACAAATGCGAGTTGCAGCATTCATTCAAGGTTTGACACCAGTCGATACAGCATTGACCGCAATGGTATTTATGTCAACAATTGCACGACTACGGAATAAGTTGATTGTTGCTTGGCATTCCGTATCGACAGTCTGCGTGTGTGTGCAACGTGCTGTTGTCACATATGAACAACTTGGATTGACTTTGTGGACAAAACACAGTCACTGTAGCGGTGGTGTTCACAGTCGTGTATGGTTGGGTAAAATTCACTCCGAGAGGAGTTACGAGATTGGTTGGACTCGTTCAGTAAATAGTGTCGAGTCACGTAAACTGATGCATAGCAGAATTCCTTTGATAATTCACACCAGATTTGATTAATAACAGTCAAACTCAGTATCCAGATTGTAACGGATGAATCCAGTTTCAGACTTTTCAATTCTATAATGTATGACCGTATCAAAAAAGGAAACGACTTGAATCCAAAACTATAGTTTGATTTTGTACTATATGATGAGTGTTGTTATTAGTCGATTTTTAGTAGAAAAGTGCAACAAATATCCAACCATTGTTTATTTCAAAGTAAAGACGGCAAGTAAAGTATTCCATTTTACATGCATACGACTGTAAATCAACAACATCAGAAAATAAACTCTGGCTTCCAAACAAAATATCAACAGTCAACGGCTTGGATAGCAGTAGTAAAAAATAGCGAGTTTAAATTGATCCATAACTTATTCAGCATAGTTTTTGGGATCTTCGTCGTCATTGTCACCACCTTCATCATCTGCCTCTTCCTCGTCTTCTGTTGCATCCTGCATAGCAATTTCTGCATTCAATTTTGCTTTTCTAGGAGGCGGTGGTCCGTCTAAATCCATGGCATCATTCGGTGTTGGTCTAGTAAAAGCCTGACGAGATG